CCATCCATCCATCCATGCATCCATGCCTCTCTCCCTCTCTCTCCCTGTCTCTCCCTCTTCCTGTCTTTCCCCCTGTCTCCCTGCCTGTCGATGTTGCATGACACTGTTCCTGCCAGCCGGATCTGTGACTCATGCATGGAGAGCTTGACCGTTGGGCTGACCGTGTCCACTGCGAGTGCACAGAGAATTGTTCGAGTGATCGTGTGCCGTCTGTCCGTCTGACTGCCTGCCTGTCTGCTTGCCTGCTCTGCCTGGTCTGTCGGGTCTGTCTGTGCATGTGAAGAACCTCAGGCCTTTCATGGGGATGCCGATCCAGTCAATCCCTGGGGAGGCAGAAGAACTTCTTGCAGCTATCATCACCTAGGGTCCATGCTTAGCGGGAGCACGGAGGGAGCCTCTTGCCATCCGCACCGATCCGCGAAGAAAAATAATTTGTTGCAACTTGGTGTCTTGTACAGAGGATGCTCGTACATGCAGCCATGCCCTCTGCAGGGCACGGCCTGGGCTATTGGCATTCCTCGGTTCCTGCATCCCTGCAGAGATGGGCCAGGTTCAATCGCTGCAGTACCTTGTCAGGAAGTGTGATTGAAGGAAGGGGGAGCTTCTGCGAGAGTCAGCTCACAAGTCGTGCCACCTGTAAGCGATGTAGCGTTTACCAAGCTGGGCTGACATGTTTCGTGAGCAATGGCAGAGGCGCCATCAGCAAAGACCCCAACATCTTGCGTGAGTTCTGGTGATGATATGCCGTAAGCTTCGCCATGTAATTTCTGCATGCTTCAGAATGACAGCCAAGGCCATCAGTCCGAGAAACCTGCTTAGCCGAAGGCTCTTCGCATTCATCCTCCTTCAGCCGTTCCCTGCTCAGGTCTTGCAGACTGGCCTCCAAGCTTCAGAGAGCATCAAGGCAGCGAGGGGAACGTGCTTGTATTCTCCAGTGTCCGAAAATGGACAGTATGTTTGTGAGGTTTCGCCGTGGCTTCGCAGCGTGGTGGCAATGTGTTCCGAGTGACCGAGCGATTTTGAAACGGCACCGATTGCCCGCTGTGCACGGAGCCAAGGTACGAGGGCTGCCAGGACGATGCGACTGTTAAGCTTATCAGACTGCATGGAGCTGGCCACCAGTGGTGCCTCTGCTCACAGTACCAGGGGCTTGTGCTCTCTCTCTCTCTCTCTCCCCTCTCTCTCCCGCTCTCTCTCCCTCTCCCTCTCGCTCTCGCACTCGCTTGCCCCCTCGCTCTCGCTCTCGCTCTCGCCGTTTCTCTCACACTTTTCTCTCAAACGCACACGCTTGCACATGCAAACGTGCTGTCACACCCGTACCTGTATCGTTGAATTTCAATTCCTCCGGGGGTAGCGTGTCCTGCCTGAAACATCCTGAAACTGATCTCCTGCACAGGGGCACGGGTTTCAATAAGGGCTGTTTGGGACCTCAACAAACAAGATGGCCCTGTGTGCAGTATTTCGTGCTCACGCTGGTTGTTGGGAAGTGGGCGCCACTGCTTGACTGCTACAGAGTCAATCTTGGATCGAGTGGAGCCTTGCCTGCCTCGTGCGGGTGTAACAGTCGAAATCACTACTAGTGAGGCTTGAATGGGTCTTGGCTGCAGCCTGTGTTGTGAGGCGACGGATTCCACTTTCTCTTCGCTTTACTAGAAAACGAGACTCTACCCCGCTGTGTGGTCGTCGCGGCTCTGGTTTGAGACGAGCAGTCCGAACCACAACCTCCACTTTAGGCCGTAGTTTTGCCTTAAGTCTCATGTTTTGGCCGGCGGCCTCCTGAATTTCAGGCGCAGAGTGCACACTTTGGATTGCATGAAAACAGGTGTATATTTGTGCACCTGCAGATTTACGAGAAAGGAGTGGATGAACGAGGAAGACAGCGAGAGGTAGGTAGGGAGGAAGAGCGCGATGGAGACAACCAGTGTAAAGCCAGATGTTTCAATGTTCAGGAGCTTCCTTGGTAAGGCTTACACTAAACTCAAGAATCCAGTATTGTGAATCCTTGCCTGCCATGTGCGAGCTGCGACAGTCAAGCGCAAGCTTCAACACCTACACTCATGAACGCTGTACGTCATGTGCAGCCTCCTTCCTTGCGAGGCCAAGCGCCGCCTTTGAGATCCCTAACCTGGGCAAGGTGGCAAGGACATGGGTGGGGCGAGTGTGGGACTCTTAATCTCTCAAAGCTTGCAAGTTATGGGCAGAAATCTCTTCCCATATGGAGTCGAGCAATCCCGCGTCACCGTGTGAACGTGCCAAGTAAATTACAGTCGATTCGGTTCTGTCCTCTTCTTTCGCCGACAGACGAGCCGAGACGCGTCGACGACAGGGGACGTGAACCTCAAGTTTCACCCCGAGACGCGTCTCATGCAGCGTAGCGGTAGCTGCGCCCCGTGGCGCCTGCCGCTGAAGGCGATGCTTGGGGCATGTCTGGGGTCTGCATTCTCTCCATGCGAGCACAGCAGCGACTGGCGAAAGAGATGGGTTCCGTGACGCGGGTGACGCATGACTGAGTTCGTGTGAGAGGGGGAGGGGACGTTCTGGAGATCGAAGACGCCGTGAGTGGGTCGAAGTGATCTGCCTTGGCCCATCCCGTGGCAAGTGCTGTCTTCGGTGCATGGCCCGAAGTGGAATAGCCATGCCTCTGACCGAAAGGATTGATGCGAACCGCCTCATCTGTGACTTCTTCGACAAGCACCGCCTCGCAGCAGAAACTTCAGCTTTTGCTGATCAGAACCAAACCCAGTCTTTGCATCAGGGCCTCGGTCAGGGTGTTGTTGGCCATCATTCTTGTGTTTTTGGTAATTTCCTGTCTCTTGCCTTCAGAGTATGTGTGTGACATGTCTGACCTCTTGTGCAAGGGCTGCCCGACGAATGGAGCATCTTGCAGCTGAAAATGCAGGCCCACTTCTTGAACGCTTGCATCAAATCCTTGCATTGGAATTGGTCGGCTGCAGGGTTATGAGGAATGGAACAGCGACCCTCCTTGCCTGTGAGGCCGCAGGAGCTGTGTCCGTCGAGCAGAGCAGCCCCAGGTTTGGAGCTCTGCTGTGGGCCGGTGCTTGGCTTAGCCCCGTGACGCGTGGGAAGTGTCTGCCAGTCGGCCCCCACCTGACGAAGGCATTGCAGCCCTGGGCCCATTGCTGCTCTGGACCTTGATGGCTCGGCGCCGCTCCGAATGCTGCCGTGACACTCCCCGCAGCGAGCTGGGTGCGAGCCTCCGGTCAGCTATGGGGGAGCTGCCTCGCATTCGTGGTGTGGCCGAGGTCCGCTGCTTCTCGCGGACGTCGGGTCGCCAAGTCATGCTGCGCTGCTGCCGTGACTCGAAGGCCAAGCAACCTGTCCGAAAGTCTCGCAGTGTTGAACCGAGACTCGAGACATGCGATTGGACAGGAGATGAGATTGGAGCTCAGACCCCCCAATTCTGAGACACCTTCTTCTTGTGATATGCGGCCGCGCACAAGGACGCGCCCGTTTCACCAAATTGGCCCAGAGCCCCCTCTATGCTTGGATTTAGCCTGTGATGTCCAACTGCTTTATTGCGACATCATTCCCTCCTGATTTGATCTGTTGGCTATTGCAGGCTGACCGCCTGCGTCCAAAGGGCAAAGGTGAGAACTCGGTGAGAACGATTCGCAGCTGGTCGTCATGCGGGCAGAATTTGCCTGAAAGTTGTGCAGGACCAAAAGGCATAAAACCTCCCCCATCGCAACACCAACATCTGTGAGAACACTTTCCGAGTGTGTGCTTGGGTGTTCTGCCCAGGATGGGCTTAAACAAGGATGATTATTGGTGGTACCGAGATCTCAGTCCAGTCCTCTGGTGATTATGTGGGACCTCGGCATCTGTTTCCGTCACTTCCCGGATGCTGAGGAAAATTTGGCTCCGTCCCCCATGCTGGCTTTGGGGTCGGCTTCGAGAGACTTGTCATGCTTTGCACCGGTGCAGGGAACTCGGTGAACAGGCTGAAGATGGCTGAAGCAAAGGCCGAGCGAACGGCGTCAGAACTCTCTGGGCTGTCTGAGGTCCAGAACATACGTGATGTAATTCCGTTCCCACGGTACCCTGGTGCCGTCCTTGGCTCTCGGTGCGACGTCCAGCCTACAGCCTCCACCCGTGCCTCGAGGTCATGCTGAGTTCTGAGTGACGATGTGAATGTGTTTCGCTCTCAGCGCCGTCTGGCGCATTTTCTTTGAGAAGCCAGCACTCAGACTCAGCCAAGTCATTTCGGAACACTTCTGCAACATGCAAGACTACTGGCCTGTTACTGGCACTTACTGATTTTCCTGGCTGTCCTATGCTGTCATGGCATCGACGAGCGAAGCTCGCTGCCAGCGCTATTTGCAATTTTATGCCACAAGAACTTCAGCGGCTCTTTGTCTCTGTTATCGTTTTCACGTACAGGAAAAGGCATCGAAAGTTTCAGCATGATCCAGCTTGGTGGTGTGCAAATCATTTGTTTGGATGCAAGTGAGTGTAACGTGCATGCAAACTCACAGCCAGGACGCTGAGCCACGCGACGAACCGAAGCTCATGAACCATCAATGCCCGCCCGACCTGAACCTTCGGGCCACAGGAAAGATCGACACATGTAACCAAAATCATGGTGCTGCTAGGCCCTCTGGATGCAACGGCATAGAGAGAGAGTGAAGGGCATGGTAGTCTCTCGCCCTCGGTGGCATAGCCATCCGGCTCTCCGAGCCGTGCCATGCGGTGCCTCAGGCACGAGTAGCTCGGCCAAGGAGTCGGGGACCCCAAGGTCCCCCTCCTTCCATGGCCGCCTAAGGTACAGCCTAGCACGTTCCATCAGCCATGGAACCAAGTCCGCCGCGATCTCCAGTGTATTCTCGCCTAGAGGCAGGAACTGCCTTCTGTCCGTGTGTGACCTGTGACATGTATGACGAGTGGATGACGCAAGCTTTTGCTCGCATCGCAATTTAGGTTTGAGCTGTGGGCATTCGCAGGACCAGGAACCCAAGGGCCTGGCGACTCTGTGCTATGTGATCTTCCTCGGCACGTTCGAGCCGGGACCGGGTGCAGGCATCATCACCACGTGCTTGGAGCTTGAAACCTTGAGGTGGGGTATGGTCATCCCCACGCTGTGGCCCTTGCTGCAAAGAATGGGCTCCCCTGAGATGTGGCTCGGCTGGAAGACGGCCCCCGCAGTGTTCACCCCGGCCCTGCCGCACTTGTTACTTGTTACGCCATCCTGCTGCATCTGCTAATGTACTACTAATGTATTACATTACTACATAAACCCACCCTACAAAGGCACCTAGGTCTAGGTCTCCATGGCATGTTTCTCGTCATGGAATGGCACCTTGAGAGGAGGTGCAGCAAAATCCAAGCCTCGAAAGACAATCACTATGACCCCCTCCTCTCGCTGACGATGCCACTGACAATGCCTAGCAAAAGCTCACTGCAAGTAAAGTGTATGAGCACAGTACCAACTTGCCCGCCACACAATCTCTTGGGTGAAGTGTGAGCAGTTGTTCCGTCGAGACCGCCTGTGAAAGGTATTTTGGGCTTGTGATTGGCACTTTCTCGCTGACTCGAGTGATTTGCCAGCCGCGCCTTGTTCGCATGTCAAACGAAGTATATGCATCTTGACTCCCGAAACCTGGAGACGAAATCATCCGGCAGGATTATCGGAGCTTTGGGAGATCGCTTCGACTTCCAGGTCGCCTGAGCGGTACGCGATGGGAACACTGACGGCAATAGTGAGCTCCATATGTCGGTTCGGCATGCTCCTGGCGAGGTGCTGCTGTGCAGCTGCCTGCTTTGTTCAGCATTGGGAGGCAAGCCTTGCCTTCCGATGCTTCCAGCATGACAGCCGTTGCACCATTTACTCCTCTTTGCGCCCGCTGCGAACCGTGTCTATGCTTCCCGAATAAGTTGGTCGGGCCTTTGGCTCAAACGGCTTGAGTAGAATCGATCTCCAGGTGAATCCAGTTGATTGTTCCACCTTTGCACAGACAATGCCCACTCACTTACATTCATTCCATGTCATTCCCCGAAGCCAGTTGCAGTCACGGGATGTTTCTTAGTCCTGAAACGTAAGTAGAAGTGGCCCGACAGTGATGAGCAAGGGGTGAGATTGCTCTGCGTCGATGCGCCGGGTGCAGCGTCCGTACTGGAACTGGCTGACTGTCCAGCTGGTCCTGTTTGTTTTGTTGACTTTGCAAGTGGGATATGTCGGTACTCCGAAGCCAAAGGCATGTCCCAGGACTCCGCGCGGAAACACAGGCAGGCAACCATGCGCGAGCCCGCCAGGCTCGGGCCCGTGGGCTACGGTCGAGGCAGCCTACGACAAGATCTCTGCGAATTTTGCGGAAAGCCGGCGCTTCCCATGGCCGTTCGTTGTGCAATGGATGCGGACCAGTCACAGGGACACACTCCTGGTGGCTGGGTGTGGGGATGGCAGGCATGTTCAGTCAGCCCTGGATTTGGGCTTCCGCCGCATCTTTGCCCTGGACTTGTCCGAGGGCATGCTCCAGGCAGCTCAACGGCGGCTCGGAGACAGCGGAGAAAGCGTGGTTTTCTTGCATGGCGACACCAGGCGTGTGCCCTTGCCAGATGAATCCGTCCAGGATGTGCTCTCTTGCATCTCGGCTGTTGCGAGATTGTGTGTGATATTCCGATTCGCTAAGTCTGCAAAGGAAAGGCAGCCGCAAGGAGTCTCGGAGTCTAGCCTTGGGGGTCCCTGTAGGTGCGGTCTTGCACCACCTGCCCCTGGCAGAGTCCAGAGCTGCCTTGGAAGATTTCAGACGCCTGCTGCGGCCAGGCGAAGCCCGGAAAAACCTTTGCAGAAAGGGAGAGTCAGAGAGGAGGGCAAGTTGACTGGCACTTGTTGTTCCGGTCGCAAGAGTTCAAAGGCATTCCCCAGAGGGCAGCCGGGAAAGCACAATCGTCTCTCAATACGAGAGCAACAACGGCAGGGCATCGTTCAGGGGTCTGACTGCCCTCACCTGCCTTTCTAGAGAAGGTCGCTCGCCACAGGCCGACCAACCCAGTGCGCGTTCGCGTGCAGAAGGGTTGCGTGCGTCTGCTGTCTGTGTGGAAGAGGAGGGCAAGAGGGAGGGCGCTCTCAGTCATGCAGGGGGACGGCTCCTGGCATCCTGCTGGGATCCTCGAGCAAAAGCTGTGGCGAAGCGAGGAAAGCCCGCAGAGGCTAGGACTTCAGTATTGTCGGCACTCGTTTCGTGTTGTTGAGATTTGAAACCAGAGAAGGACCCTTGAAGTATTTCAAGCAACTTGTTCTCGTCGGGGGATGCTGCACACGTCCGCTCCCCGCACATTCTGAACAGTGACGAGCATTGTCCCATCCTGGACACTGCCCGCTGCCTGGAGGACGGCATCGATGCTCATGCTTACTGGGTTGCCTGGCGGTGTGCAGATGGAAGCGATGTCCAACGATGGTACAACTTACCACCGTTGGAGGCTTGCTACCATGTGTACCATGAAGGACTGTGACGGTGAAGCTGCGCGAGGTGAGGCGGCAAAGTTGGAGTGACATACCGGGCCTTCTCCTCGAGATGCTTGGAGAACTTAGAGTATTCATATCCGCGATTTGCAGTCCATGACCTTGCGAATGCAGAATGCCCTACCCGCCTGCGATTTGCTCTACTCGCCGCAGTTGTTAGGAGAGTGGAGCTTGATGGTGACAATCAGGTCTTCGAGCGCCTCGTCTGTTGCGAGTGACACATTGCCCGGTCTGACGGTCTGTTATCTTCCAAGGTGGCGCAAAGTCCCAGAGAGCGGCTCCTGAAGTGGCACTGTGAGTTGAAGCAGCAAAGCAGCATGGAGGCCGCCGCCATGGCTGAGCGAAGACCCTGCAGCACTGGCAGATGGATGCGGACATGGCTCATCGACATGCCAAACATGGGGCGAATTGGTACTGACTCACGTCCAGCTCTCTCGTGATGCCACCAGCCGTAAGAGATTCGCATCCCGCACCCCCGGAAAGAGAGTTCAAACGCCCGCTCCTGGGAGCGCTTGCTCGTCTTCGCGTGCAATTTGCCCAAAGCTCACGGCATGGAGCCAGGTGTGCTGTACGCGCTCTCACCTGTGCCGTGGCTGCTGCTGGTGTGGCACTCTTAGCTTTGGATTTCTTGCGTTCGCTGCGACGTCGGGTTTGACGAGTTTCAAGATGGGAGGGCTTCCCAAGACACACACACACACACACACACGCTCGAGTGCTGCATAAAACGAAAAATTAATTAAAGCATGAATAAAAAGGCTGCAACAGACAGGGCTAGTGCCCCAATTTGATTCGTAGTAGCAATAGACCTAACCTAAGAATGACACGGCTTTTCATATTCACCCTGCTAAAAGGGCCAACATATCTGACTGAGAAACGGAATCAAACAGCAACCCCAACATCTCTTCCTACTCCAGTCCTACGATTCAGCTTCGTGACCTGGTTGGCAACGCTCATATTGGCCTCAACAAAGCTTTTTCAACACTGAAGTACTGCTAGCCGGCTTAACCTTAACCGTCATAGCCATAGCCATAGCATCATTCACCACTCATGTCCGTATTCACCGTTACAACATTGTTCACTCCTTCCGATGCTTATTCCCCAAGCTCAACGGCCCCCATATTCACTCTAATGGCAAATCTGACTTTTACATGCAGGCCAGAGATCAAGCCCCAATAGGAACCTTAAGATTCAACGTGAAATTGCAGTGAGTCTTCATTCTAGGCAATGTCAACTTAAACACTAAGCTCGGGCCTTGGCCCGGATGTTGATCGCAACGGCGACTTTGATAGTTCCTAAGCAAGAACTACCCGAACTGTAAACCCTGAGACTGAACTGCCGGAAGATCATGAATGGTCATCCTAGCCCCACAGCATCAGCCGGAAGCCTGATTGGAACCTGACAACTTAGCTTGCATGTTAGGAGAATAGCGATGATACTGCAGCTAGCCTGGTATGAGCCGTAGGGATAGCTTTGTTTCTTATGTTGACTTTATTACGCCTGGCCTAGATGAAGACAATCCTCACGGCACAATGTTAGAGCCGATAAGCACGGGTTCGCAGTAACAACTGAATATGGTCCCGAGTTTGAGAAAATGCTCCCGCACGTGCTCTGGAAACACGAAAAAGTAGACAGACAACTGGGGGGGGGGTTAGCTAATACATACATATACAAAAACATACATCTATGTGCACACGCGCGCGCGCGCCCACACCGAAATAGAAGTGTGTATAAGCACACAAAAATTTACATATTAATGTATACATATATATATATATATACACATGCACGCGCACGCACGCACACACACACACACGCACACACACACACACACACTGATGGATCCGGTCAAGAGTACGAGTGCAAGAGGCAAAGAGA